ACAAGTTTAACAAATTACCAATATGTATTTATGTCCATTTTAACTGAATCTTAACTAATTCATAAAATGTATGAGAGTTTGACAGCAGCTACATATAATCCAGAAGCAATAGTTTAACCCTCAATTTTTATTCCCACAGAGCAGCTGGGTTTCATATCCCAAAAGTATATTAAATTCCATTGTAATCCGCAGCCATCATCGGAAGCTGGATTCATCCAGAAATGCTAATTCTCTCTCTCCCTGATCTCATCTTGTTTACTTTTCCTCCTTTTATTTACTTTTACTCTCTGGAAAGCAGATCAGCAGTGATCAACTCCCTTCAGCCAACATCACGACCCTGCAGGAATCAGACATCAGGGTCGGAAAATCAAACCAGTGATCATTAAAGTTCTCTTTTAAAAGCCTTTGTAGGACTCAAGGAAACAAGACACTGAACACAGGGGCATCATAATGAAGGGAAAGCAGTTATCATCATCAGATTTAGGCAACAATAGACCTGTAGGGAGTTCCTTTGTAACCTAACACTGATAGCTTCCTATCTTCCTTATTTCCCCGTGGCTCTCTCTTATCAATGTCTGCAAGATACTCCTAAAACTACCTTCTAATCAAAATCTAAAAGAAGGCTATTTCTATTTGAAGGTCAGGCTGAGTCAATATTTAAGTTAGGCTGAGAAGCACATGTTGCAGCAGTTATAGACTGTGTTTGAGCTCTGTGCACACTGAAAGATTCAACACCACAGAGCAGCAAAGGCTTAGGCTGACATTTACACTGGAGGGGAGTGTGTGTGTGTGTATGTGTAGTACCACGAGGTGTGGCAGTGAAATGATGACACGCATGCTGTAATTCCATTTTAATGAAGAACATTTTTTAATCTTTTACCCGTTCGTTAAAATATCTTTCTACACACAAATGAAGGGAACAACAAACGGGAGGAGAGTTGTAGTTCATGATTCTGTCAACGGTAGATCAGCGTTTGCAGACACTTGCTTTCTCCCCGAGCATCTGGACAACTCCTCATCCAGAATTATTAGACATTTTACTGCCTTTAAAGTCATTTATGAAAGACATTTTTACAGCACCTTTCAATTGTGACACTTTTGCTGCTCAATTCTAGCTGCGTGGTCTCTCGTTCTTGAGCAGTCCACTCACATTGAAAGGTGTTGAACACTTGTCTATTCAATCCATGTGGAGTGGTCTCTATAGGACTGAATGCCGTGTAAGTCATAATCGGGAGTGGGGGTGGGGGGTGGGGTGGGGGGTGGGGGGAAATACCCAGAAGCGCCTGGATCAGCACTGAGGAGTCAGCTGGAGGAGAGAAACGGAGCACACGGCAGGATTTGAAGTCTTATTTCCAGATATTTGGACATCTCACCTCTGATTGGGTAACAGCTACCCATTGACTCCGTTTGCTCTGCAATGTTGATGTTTTACCTCCACAAATAATGCCAGATACCGTGATAGAGAATGCAACTGCACGGTATGGAGGAAACTACACCCCAATATTTGGCTAATTGGATGTTCCTGTGATGAGTAAAGTACCGTAAAGGCAGAGGAAAACGTCATCTATGGCCTGCTCCAAAACAATAAAAGTTATCTGAATCTGGCCGCCTGTTCGGCCTTGGCTGAAGAACACAAATCTCCATGAAGGGCTCGCTGCTCGCTTTGTTACCTCTGGCCTCCTTCACCCCTCCAGAAAGCAGAGGATGAGGCAGCGCTGAGGACTCTTTCTCAGTTGAACGAAGGGCTCCCCCTCCCTCCAGCCCCTCCTACAGTGGATTTATGTTTGTGACTGTTCAATTTATGTGCTTATCAAGGGTTTTCCTGAATCTCCACTGCTGCCCCAGGCTCAGGAACAGGACAGAGTGACATGTTTTCTTTTCTTCCTCACACCTCCTCTTGTTTTTTTAATATAATCAGAAATAATCAATAAAATGCTTTTTTTAATGTTCCACACCTTAAATTCTTTATTCTCAAAAGTTTTATTCACACTTACACAGACTCACACTGTGTGTCTGTAGTTACAATCCTAAGCCATTTTCTAGCTGATGAACAGATGAAAAATAATCTATAGATGGCCGGGTGAGGGATGCACACAATTTCCTTAAATAGCATCACAGTGACTGCATGAATGGCTGTTTAATAGCTTCATGTTGGAGATGATTACATTAATTCAGCAATGCAGGCTCTGTTTGCACAACAGAGCCAGGAGGTGCCAGGTTGCCAATAAAACAGGACTCTAAGTTCCATCCCACTTTATTGAATTGTGCATTAGCCTTTGCCAATCACAAGGGATAATTGCTCAGCTTAATTTACCACCGGAGGCTTCGGGATGCGAGGAGCTTTCTGGTGCGTCACCATCACTCTACTTGCACTTTGTGAGAAAAAAGAAGCTTAAATTCCCCCAGAATCCGCTTTCAGTAGTCATGAACTGGATTTTGCAGCATCCTCGGGTTTAGTTTTGGATGTTCTCTTTACCCTAACACATCCTGACACTCTTTCTTCTCTAATATGTGCGTACAAGTGGCCTTTCCTGTGCTTCTCACACCAGTTTAACAAACTGGGCAAGGTCACGAAACGCTGATGTGAAAAAGTGTGAATTGATTCAAGCAAACGCCAGCAGCAGGTGGCTCTGCAAGGAAGTCGTCGATAATCAGCCTCAGAGCTCAGTGTTGATTATTACTGTCTCGGATAACACAACAAATGTTTCTGTCACACACAGGGGCGCCGTAAAGCGGTGAAAGATTAGGAAGATTCTAAGGGCCCACAGCTGTCAGGGGCCCAAAAACGTTTCAAAGTTGAATAAAAAATAAAGTTTAAAAATCACAAGTACTTTACTTTGCAGTATGTTTTCTCATTTAAGACATTAAACAGTCTTTTAGTCTTTATGAAATGTGTATTCATTCAGAGGTCCCTACTTAATTTTGACTAAATAATTTGAACCCCCCCCCCCCACATCCCCCCACCCCCCCACCCCCACCGCCCCCCCTTCCTAACGGCATAAAATGGTAAAGTCCACCTGGCCGAGGGGCGCGTAGCAGGCCAGGCTAGCTCACGCAGCAGTCAGACAGCAGAGTGCACCAAGGCTGCATGTCTGCAAAAACAAAGTCTGGGTCACAGAAAAGGAAAGGAAGAAAGGAGAAAGAGGACAGGCAGAAGAGAGGGTGTCAGTATGTCACACAGTTTTTCTCAAAGAAAGGTGGGTTTAGTTAGTGATTGGTAAAATTAAACCTGTTTGCTAGCTTTGATATCCACAATGAGAGGAACTGTTTCATCTAATTATGGTAAATGGGTTGTTGTCCTTGTCCCTACCAGAATCAGCAGCTGATGATATGTCAGCAGGTGCCCCCTCACAACCCAATGAACCTCAAGAAGGTGAGCAATGTAGCATGTTAGCTAGCTGCCTCATTTAAGGGGGTCTGTGGGAATCACTCTCTTCTCTATCAGTACTATTACAAATGAATATAAAAAGGCTATTTTTGGTGATAAACACATTGTTTTTCCACTTAATGATAATTATATATATCAATCAGTAAAAATGTATAGATTGTTTTTGATGCTGGGCAGATTGAAGCATTGCTATTTAGTCCGTCACTAAGTATGTCACTCAGGAGCATTATTAATTATATCGCTGTAAATAATAAATCTTGCTGTGTACAATCAAGGCTGAATATATTTGTAGCTGTTTTTTGTTGTTGAGAAAAATGGGTTTCTAGAGACTTATATACGTATTCATGCAAAGTTGTCCAACTTTAAAATTTTATGTAATCCTAACTGACTCCGGTTTGAACTGTGTGCTTATTCATTTTGTGTCTGTGATGAAGCCGTGGAGGCTTAATAAAGAAGTCGCCTTGTGAGCAGTGAATCCTTAATTTTTGTCAGTCATACAGAAATACTTGATTTCAAGAGGAAAGACAGCTGAAAATGTAGTTATGTAAAGCTTTGACACAACATGGAAATTTAATTAAAGAGCGGGTCAATTGAGCCTCGGAGTCCTTCTCCACCCACGTATCAATTTTAAAAAATGCAACATTAGTAGGCGTTGCCTGGAGGACCGAGAGGGCGGAGCCGCGGCAGTGACGAAGACGATGGCTAACTAGACGAAGCTAGCTCCCTTCACTCTGAGCAGTTATTAGAAGTGGAGGACGTTTCTCCCCCTCCTTACACAGACACTCGAGAAGAAAGGGACCAAGTCTATTTGGAGGAGACAAGCGGACCTGAGTCTTATTGTTTTGAGCTTGTGAGTTGCCTGAAACTCCCAGAACCGACCCAACAGAATCACCTCTGAAAGGTAAGTAGCCGTTAGCCATAGCATTGGATTAGCTGCAGGGTTTGTCTCCACGGCCCTAAAAAGCTAGTATTCAGCATGTTTTAGAGGTTTATCTGCTTCAGCACACCTGGTTTTAATCAGCAACAAATAGCTGAGTTGCTTAACAGTTAATCTAACCTGTTAAAGCAGGAAAACCACTGAAACGTGCTGGATAGCAGCTCTCCGGTAGCTCTGGGCTCAAGTTACAGTCTGCTGCATATAAAGTTATGAAAATACCCCATGAGAAAATTATTCTGTAATGTGTTCAGCCCACTAAAACTGCCCTGATTTCTTTATTTATTTACTGATAACAGCTGCTCTCTTGGTTCTAGGTCCTCTGGTGTCTGCAGCTGGTCTCTGGTGTCTGCAGCTGGTCTCCTCTGCTGGTGTCATCAGGATCAGGAACTTTCAGAAGAACGTGCCTTTCAATGACTCTTTCCCCCTTATTTGTTATATTAATTAAATAAATCTCAATTTATATATTTCCTGTTTTTGTTCATGTCCATAAATACTTAAACATGCTTGAAATTAGAACGAGCTTTTAACAGTGAGGTGCTAGCTTAATTAATCACAATAGAGCTAGTTAAACATGCAACAAAAATGTGATATTCAATGTAATTTATAAATATCCATTAAAATATCAAAACGAATCTAAATGAGATATTTGGCAGCACAAAAAACTTGTCAAACACAATATTTATTATAATTGTAGGCAGACAGGAGACAGAGCTGATGGAGGTTCTCAGTCATCGAAGGATGGCTGAAGGCTTTCCAGGAACAGGAGATGTGGTATTGTCTCTTCTCTCTCTATTCAGCAGGATGAGCTGATAGGTTACAGGTGTGTGAGGACATCCTCATGCTGTCATAACCAGATGACAGGAGTTATCAGGTGATCAGCCAGGCTAATGAGATGCAGAAAGAAAACAAATTCAGGACAGTGTACAATATGTGGTGTTGCTCACCTTATGTGCTCTTATAGAATATTAATGTGTGCATGCCTCATGGTGTAGAGTCTATATTTTGCTGAGTGTCCTGCAATAATGCATGTTATTAGTTAATTTACTTTTGATAGCAAAAACAAAATATTTAATGTAAAAGTTATTTTCCAGGAGAATCAGCTCACACGTCACCACCAAGTGTCACAGGGGCAGAATCAGTAGCCTCCTTCATGATGTAATCACATACTTATTTAATTGTTAATATCTTAAAAATTCTGAAATGTTTTAATTTTTTTTTTAACCTTGAACAGTTCACTGAGCTTGCACTGTCACTGAGGTGGAAGCTGGAATCAACAGCAGACACCTCACATCTTGGTCTTTTCAGGGGGTCTGGACGCTCTGGGACCTTCTGGAAGATGAATTTTCATCATGGTCCCTGTGGGTCACCAGACACACTGCGGCTGTGAGCTCTAAACTGGATGGCTATGTAAAAACAAAGAAGCAGCACATTTATAAATGTTTAAAAGAGCATAAAATCACGTGTAAAAATAATCTGTAAAACAAATTAAAACTAGAAGGTGATAATAAAATGTTTACATAGAAGATTATTAAAAATAATTCACCTTTGCTACAGGGAAGGTTTCACATCAGCCTGGACAAGTACATTCATGCAGCTAAATCAGTCTGACAGCCAGTGTCTTGGGTAGATTTAGCCTGAAAAAAAAAAATAGAAGCACATTGTTGTTGGAGTTTATAAAGTCAGATAATATATAAAAGAATCTCCTATATAGGCGCTTTATAACATTCCTAGTGTGTGATCGTTGTTATAACGTAAAAGTCCATCACATATGATGTGGAGAGCCTGAAATGCGACCTCCTGAACAGAATTCCTTACAGAACCTGTTCACAAGCTGGATTTCACGCTGTAATGCTGTCTGTCAACTAGTGCAGCGTTAGTTAGAGACACTGTTGCAGAATTGCCGACTGACTAGCTAAAGGAAGTGAACCACGTCTCTCAGACTTTGCATTTAGGTAGGGAATTGTCTTTAGAAGATGTTAAAACGTTTATTTAGCTGACTCACCTCAGACTGGAGCCCGCCGTGGTGGGGGAGCAGAGTCGGTGGGCTGCATCTAAATCGCGGAAGAGCCACGGTGGGCAGCCTCCCTCTTCAAACGGAGGCGCGCAGAATCGCGGGTAAAATGCCCACAGAGTCACCGCAAGCATACTACACTACACCTACTCACCAATACTAAGACGATATGGAACACTAAACCAGAAATACTTTCCCAATTACACTAACAGCCAAACACTAACTCAACTACAATATCCAACAGCCAAATCTAACACTAAATAAGTATTTATAACACTAAAAGATATGCTAAGACTAGGATATGCTAATGCTATATGCTAATGCTGAACTACCGCTGACCTCCTATGCTCGCTTGCAAATCCAACTCCCACTCGCCACAGGGCGTGGCCGAGACGCTCGTTGCTTTTATAACTTTGGCACGGAGCTGCTACGTAGTACTCTACTGGTTTACGTAGTACTTTACTCTTTAGCCATTGGCTAAAATTTATTCAAAATGACAAAAATTCTATGTTTTCAGCTGAAGGTGGCGCATTACTGTGGTTTTTAGACAGAATTTTTAATTTTTAAAGAAAATGCACCAAAATGCTAAAATAAAGAATGCACACATTTAAAACACTATTAGACACTCATTTATACAGTTCATCAGCAAAAAAAAGTTAATTTAGACGTTACTTGCTCTTTAAATATCCCAATTTGAATTTTATCATCAAATAAAATTTTAGAATAAATAAGCACATTTTAAGGGAGTAAAAGGGAAAAGGAGATTAACACCTTTCAGCATGTGCATTTCCTGCTTTTTCCAGCAGTGATATTGCTACTTCTGTTGAAGGAAATTCACTGTTTAATGAGAGATAGTTGGTGAAAATGATATGTAAATAAGTAAGAATGCATGTAGACCTACATAATTAAGCAAAACTGAAACACTAATATAAAGTATATATATATATATATATATATATATATATATATATATATATATATATATATATATATTTTTTTTTTTTTTTTTCTCCCTTCGAATCTGGGAGGGTGGAACCCCAGCTCCAGCTATGGACGAGCCCCCTGGGGGCCCAACTTGATATTTTTTCATGGGGCCCAAAATCTCTGGCAGCCCCCCTGGTCACACACACATACACCTGTTTGCCTGACTTTGCATGCATCTCCACCACATGTTTGAATCTTTGTAAGAAAATATGAACTGGAATAATTTTTTTTGGGTTTGACCTGAGATGATCTTTCCTGTTATTTGAAATTTTATTTTACACGACTGGAGCATTTTCTAAAATGTCTTTTCTGACTACTTGCGTAGCATAATGAATAAATATGTAAATAGAGTCAGTAAATACATTTAATGTCTGCAGAACATTAAAAATTTGCCTTTGGATTTTGTAATTGTTTCAAATGCATCCATCCATCCATCCATCCATCCATCCATCCATCAGTTTTCGTCCACTTATCTGGGGTGGGGTCGCGGGGGCAGCAGCCTAAGCAGAGAGGCCCAGATTTCCCTCTCCAGAGCCAGTTGGACCAGCTCCTCTGGGGGAATCCTAAGGGGTTCCCTGGCCAACCAAGAGACATAGTCCCTCCACCGTGTCCTGGGTCATCCTTTAGGTCTCCTCCCAGTTGGACGTGCCCAGAAAACCTCACCAGGGAGTCGTTCAGGAGGCATCCTGATCAGATGCCCGAGCCACCTCAACTGGCTCCTCTTGGTGTGGAGGATCTACAGTGGATCTACTCTGAACCCCTCCCAGATGACCAAGTTCTCACCCTTTCTCTAACCCTGTTTCACACTGAAAGCGTCAGCGGTATGGAACGGCAGTGGAATGTCTCTGCTTCAAATAGAATAAAATTTAGTCTATGGAGTGTTTCAAATCAGCCGCAATGCAACAGTTTTTTAGGTGCTTCCCAGAAGCTGCGTGGCACGCTGCTAGAGATAGGATCAGGGTCTGCTTTTGCTACGAACCGCTTCTGGGACATGTCAGTTTTCACAGTTAACATAGGGCTAGACAGGAAATCACACACGGTTTCAGAGTAAAATCCCTGGTAATTGTCTAAATAAAAGTACTGCAGCAATGCACTTTCATATATATGAAGCTCACATGCAACCCTAACGGCTTTTTGACTCCCTGCATCGTTCCAGAAGTGCAGCAGCGTGTTTTTCATGGCTTTAATCCTGACAGCAGAGAGGAACATCATTATAAATGACATCAAACAGCGATATCAAGCATGATTTCCTTCTTTTTGGTTTATTGGCGGATTGCATCAACAAATCGCAAACTTTGAAGTCTCGAGGGATTCGCGAGTCAAGCGAGAAAGATGTTCCACGGTCAAGACTCTGCTGACGTGTAATGAAGCTCGCGAGTAAAACGTATCGCTGCGGTTCCGCGTTGCTTGATGCTTCCAGTGTGAAACAGGGGTGAGGGAGAGCCCAGAGACCCTGCGGAGAAAACTTTTTTTCAGCCGCTTGTATCCACAATCTCGTTCTTTGGTCCCTGCCCAAAACTTTTCCAAGGTTAAGGAACTGCGGACGCCATCGTATTCTTTCAGGAGGAATTTTTGTTCATTTTGCTGAGTCTAAAATGTAAGTCGTTATGACCATATTTGATCATGTGCCGGTTTTCAATCTTAATATGAACCCTAAACCTGAAACGTTTAAAAAAGAAAATGTAGTCTAAAAACAAAGAAAAGTGAAGAAAGAGATTAAAAAGTAAAAAAAAAGTATTGTTTTGGTGTTGAGAAATTTAAAAAGTAGATGGTAGATTTAACAAACATTCAATGTAATGAAAAAAATTATAACATTGAAAACATAAATTTATGATAAAAAATTAAAAGTAGCGAAGCTATTATTAAAATTCAAAATAAAATTTCCTTTAAAGTCTATTTGCTTACCCGCATAGAATTATGAATTCTGAGCTACAGTTTTAACAGTTGTGTAATTTACACAATAACAGCAATGATTGTACAGCGTATGGTAATGAGGTTTTCTCACATGAAGGCTGAAGCAGAGGCATGACTGTACAGGTCGTCTGCTCCTTTAAAGATCTAACCGTAGCTCGCCGAGTCAGTGACACTGACCTGAGGCCAGCGTAGTGGTCACCTCGTGTCTCTTCAATCTCAGGAAGACAAGTTCACTTCATAATCATTCTGGATTAAGCTTCTTTCTAAGCTTCACCCAGAGGTCGCTGCAGAGTCGACAATCACATCACCCTTTAAAACCTTATAACACAACACTAGCAAGCATTAGCACAAGAGAGACGTGTTTTCTTTTGGAGCTGTGTGAATACGATAAAGACTCTTCTGTGCTTTGATTTTCTCCCTCCCCACTTTTTTTGTTTTTATATCCCTTCCATCCATATTTATGAGCCCCCCTAACAATAATGCTGCATGTGGAGGGACAGATGTGTTTCTCAGCTTTGTTTCCTTCCACGTGTAACACATCTTTTTTGTGTTTGACATTGAAAACATCCTCCTACTAAACCAGGCAGAGGCAGCTAAGTGTTCCCTCAAGGGTTCTGGCTCATCAGCAGCTGCGGATGCGTAATGTGTGTGCACGCATGTGGATCGTGCATAATTTTGTCAGCTTCCTCCTTGGCTCTCCAGCAGTTTATTTTTGCGAGTGTGATGTCTAGGTGACGAAAGGCTTGCACGAGCGTCTTCTCCTCTTTCCTGTCAATCGCCAAAGCCCCCAGCACCTTGCAGGTTATGTGCACCGGTTTGTTGGACAGCTTTGTGTGGAAATTACCCGTATGAGTAGACAGCTGCAGGGAGGTTTATGGGTCATGAACATTAAACTCAGGTGTCCTCCGACATGCTTGATTAACTACAGCTGTCAAGAAGAGCAGAAGGTCACGTCCCTCCAGTGCTCCTGCGTGGCAGGCAGTCACCAGACGCTTAGCAACCTGACATTCTCCTCCAGGTCCCCCCTGAGTTTTTCACTTTCTCCAGACAGCACAGGGACTTTGCTCCAGTGGGTCAAACAGGAACTCTCTGTGAAGTGGAGTGTTGGTTCAGGTCCACCCCTCTTATTTCACCAGGATATGAGTCAACTAAGGTTGTTTTGTAGAGGAAAGCATCATTTTAAAGTGATTATGCTTAATGTTAGTGTATCTATAAGTGCTGTAGTGCGGTTTGATTTAGGTGCAGGTAGATCAACAAAACTGTTCTTTCTGTGTTTGTTCTAAGTAATCAGAGGATTTTATGAGGTGATGCGAGTGCAACTATTTAATATACAAACATGCAAGATATATTAAGATGTTAAACTCATAAAGTTAACAGGGAAACAAATGCATGACAGATTTGCGTTTTGATGGCAGACATCAAAAACTGCACATTTTGGTCATTTCAGCTACAAATGCCGGTGCAGATTTGGCAACCCCGCGAGCTGAATTGTGATTGGCTCTGGAACCAGGAAGGTTGGAGGTGGGAACGTTTGTAAAAAACAAAAAAAAGACAACATCCCTCTTTGGCCTTTTAAAAGGAGAAAAACTAATGACGCTTGAAATGGCTGAGAAGGAAATCTGCTTTAATGTGACCGTCCTAACATGATTGAGCTACATTAGACAGTTTAGTGATTATTTTACTATAAAAGTCGTACTTGCTGTACCTTTAACCTCTGACCCGGAATCAGTGCAGGAGTAGCTCATGGAGTCTAGATGCATATTTCTGAAGCCTGTTGGATTGAATTTTAACATAATCACAAAAACACTGATCTAATGTGTGTTCTGTTTTATTGAGACCATAATAATAATAATAATTATTATGATTATTTGTTTTTAGTCACCTGCAACCTAAATATGATGGATGGGCAATAACGTTTTTGCCTCTGTGTGGGTGTATTTGTTAACCACAAGATGGATTATGAAGAAACTCCTGGAAATAATGCTTGTTCATCAGCAACTGATTGATGTTTGAAGTCAGCTCAACTGAACATGGAAACCGTAGATAATCAAAATCAGCAAAAGCAACAATGGCTCTGACTTAGCCATGTTAAACCCTCTCTGACAGGGGTGTCCAAACTTTTCAAGACAAAAGCAGTTTCGTCAAGTTAATCATCTCTGTGGGCTACAGCAATATAATGTTTTAAAAAGTGGAGAAAGTATTTTATTGTGATTTTTTCCCCCTCCTCAAAATAGGTACAAATTATTGCTAACAACTGTGGGGCTTGTGGGCCGGTATCCAGCACATTTTTGTGGTTTCTCTGCTCCAACACACTTGATTCAGTGGTTGAATCACCTGTGCAGCAGCTCACCAGGCTCTGCAGAAGCCTGTTAATCACCTACTAACTGAAATCAGGTGTGTTGAAGCAGGATTAAAACAAAAACCAGCTGGATGCCAGCCCTCGGGGCCCGGAGTTGAATAGCCCTGGTATGTAGGTTAAAATCTGAACATAAAACTATCACAAAGTGTTGATCTACATCTGGTACTGGCCTTATCCTGTTCCACAATAACATAAATGCAATATTAAGTGTGTGCTCAATACTTCAGAATGTGCATTAGTGTGTCTGTCCCTCATACCTACAAACTTGTCACTTTTCAGTGAAAATTGCCGTTTTTGAAGCCAAATGTGGCGTTCACGTGAATCGTGTCGATCCGAAGAGTTTTTTTTTTGGGGGTGGGGGGGTGGGGGGGGGGGG